CTGGGGCCACCAGCTTCCGCCAGGGTGGCCCCAGGCACAGCTAGGCTGGTAGCGGGGAGGGCAGGTCACAGGGCATCCAAAGGCCAGTTTTTGACACAGGCAAAGGATGGTGTGATGTGGCCCCAGACTCACCAGCTGGCCCTACACTCATAATCTGTGCATGCATTCATTCATTCTCTCATCCATGCAACAAACATTTACCTTTTCCTAGGAGCTGCAGATACAAGACAGATAGCCAGGTCACTGTCCTTACACACACACCAGCACTGATCCCTACATCACTAGCCTCCACTCAGCCCCTCCCAACGTGGGCAGAAAGACAAGGCCGACACGTGCCAGGCCCTATGCTGCTCATGTGGGATGCTCAGAGACTCTCCAACTACCTTCGCCTCCTTGTGCCTCAGTTTCCTCCCCTAGAAAACAGGGATGATAATAGCCATCTCACCGAGCTGTTGAAAAACTTCAATGAGTTAATTCCTACAGAGGACACAGCCCAGGATGGGAGTCCTGAGGAGCCATGGTCTAGCCAGGTGCTTGCCCACCCTCCACGAGGGGCTCCAGAGGCACCATCCATCCGGGGCTTCATCTCCTGTCCGTGACCTGCCTCAGCTCAGCCATCAGAGGAGGCCTGCTGGACCAGGCTTATGAGATGGGAGGCAGGAACAGACTGGGGGCTGGGTCCTCTCACTCTTACACAGGCCAATGGCTTCTGACCTGTCTGTCCCAGCCTGGTCTCCACACTTCCTGGCCATGCTCTGAGCTCCCTGAAATCCAATAAATTCCCTTTTGAGCACTTAAGATAATTGATCAGTTCTGTTACTTGCAACCAAAAAAAACCCAGCTAACGTAAAAGTATCCACTCTGTGCAAGGCCCTGTTACAAGCAGAATTTCATTCAATCTTCATAACAACTTACAGGAACCATATTGACTCCATTTTGCAGATGAGAAGACTGAGGCCTAGAGCAATTGACTACCTTGGCCAAGACCATACAACCAGTTAGTGGCAGAGTCAGAATTCAGAACAGGACCACAAAAAACTCCTCTCCGCTCACCACTAAGCATCTTACAAGCCCTGCCTCTTTCGTGATTATCAGCCCACTTTTATAACAGAAACCAAGGCCACAAGTCAAAGTCAATGGAGCCAGATTTGCGTGTGGGTTCTGGGAGGAGGAGCTTAGAGTCTGGAGCTGGTGAGGTTGACCAATGAGGTCACAATGTGGTCTCCAGGGACAGAGCAGGGGCGGGGTGCTCCCCACCCCAGCCAGAAGGCAGGGCAGAGGCAGCATGGGCTGTGGCCCCCAGTGGTGACCGGCCCTGCCATGGGAAACAACAGTTCTCACAAGAGGACCAAAGTGCCCAAGCAGGCCCCCAAGGAGAGCCCACCTGCCATGGACAAGGCTGGGCGGAAACCGTTCTTTAGCCACTTCAAGAGGAAGAAGCCAAGTGTGAGTGCCAGGGCGCTAGGGGTTGGGGGGAGTCAGGGGTGTTTGAACAGGTGGCCAAGAGGGGACGCGGAGTCTAGGCCCTGTGGGCCTAAGTCCGAGGGGCACAGAAGGCCTTGGATAACGCCTCCTGAGCATCAGGGTCCCAGAAGCCCAGAAAGGGATAAGGATTCAAGAAACCAGGAGAAACCGGGAGACCGGGGAGTCCAGGAGGAGGGCAGGAAGGGGTTCCCCCAACTCTGACAGATCGGTAGAGGGCCCCGCATGGGGAATCAGAGGCTGTGGGCACAGGGTATTCCCTTAAGCCCCCTTTCCAGCTCCTAGCCTCAAAACGTACTGTTTTTCCGGGGCGCGTTAAAGTCCCAGCGCCAAGGCTAGGAGGGCAGGCAGAGCCCACAAACACGCGCGGCGCAAGGGCTCGAGAGGCCAGCCTAGGGCGGGCGAGGGCTCCCAGAGGGGCGGCAGGCGTCCGGGGTGATGGGACGGGGCAGACCCACTCCCGCCCCCGGGCACGGAGGGAAGGGGGGGTCCTGGAAACGTGGAGGGCAGAGTCCCGGGAGACAGGGCCCGGCGGGTGAGGATCCTCACCAAGAAGGCGCCGTGCCCCCCTCGCTCTCACGCTGCTGCGCCCCCCCCCCGGCCCCCCAGGCCAAGATCGTGCTGCTGTTCCCCGCGGACAAGCGGCAGCAGCCGGCCGAGGTGGCGGCGGGCTCCGGCGCGCGGCCCGGGCGGCCCGGCGAGGACGCGGCGGGCATCCCCGGGGGCCCCCCGGCGGCGGCGCCCACGCTGCGAGGAGCGGGCGACGGCGCGGCCCCGAGCGAGGGCGCACGCGCGCGCGAGATGAAGACGATCCTGGCGCTGCTGCTGCTGCTGCTGCTGCTGCTGGACGCGCGGCTGCGGGAGGAGAGGCGCTGCGCGGCGGGCGGCGGCGCGGGCGGCGGCGCGGGCGCGGGGGCGCGGGCGGGGGCGGGGCCGAGGCCGCGCAGGGCGGGCAGCGGCTGGAGGCGCGCGCGCTGAGCGAGGGCGGCGCGGACCGCGAGGCCGACCCCGCCGGGGAGCAGCCGCGCCAGCGGAGCCGCCGAGCGCCCGGCCCGGCCCAATAAAGAGTGCATAGCAAACCCTGGCGCCAGCTAGCTCTGTTCGGGGGAAACTGAGGCCCAGAGCGAGACAGGGATGAACCCGGTGTACTGATGGCAGAGCAACAGGCTCTGGTGCCAGAACCTGTGTGCGCCTCCTCCTTGGGAGCCACGCGTCAGAACCCCTGCCCCGAGCTGGCGTGGGGACACCCTGCCACGGTGGAGGGAAGCTATTTCCCTCCAACTCCAGGCCCTGGTCAGACCCTCCCAGGTCTACAGGTCCAAGGGAGGGGAGTTTGGGCAAACCCTGGCTTGGCCAAGCTAGGGGGAGGGGCCTGGTTCCCACAGAGGCCTAAAGGGTCCAAGAGTCCCCAACACTCACAAGTCTTTCTTAGGCACGGTGGAGGGCCCCAGGCAAACAGCCACCACCCTGGAATGAACTGTGAAGGCTCCACAACCAGCAGGGCTGGGGCCTGGGACTCACGTTCTGTCTGCGAGAGCACCAGGCTGGGGTGTGTGGGCCTCTGTTCCCTCACTCCTGCCCCACTTTGCTTGGGAACCACCAAGTCACCTCAGTCACTTGTCTTCCAACCTCCTCAGTGCCATCCCTTTGCCCACACTGCAGCCAGAAACCTCTTCCAAACCACTTAGCTATCTGCAGGACAGTTCACTGATTCTCCGTGGCCCACAAAGAAATGCCCAAATTTCCTGTTGTCGTGTGCAGGCCCCAGCCTTAGTCTCTCCCTCTAGGGCTTCTGAGTGACTTCTAACCTCACCCCTGCTCTGGCTATATTGCCACTGTGGTCTCCAATGCAAGGTTTACCTCCCTAATTCACCCAGGAGAGGCCTGGCATGCTTTCTGTGAGAAAGATCCAGCTGTTTGTCCTCATTCTCCTGGGTCCTGAACCCAGCTTCAGACCTGAGTGCTGCCCAGCTCTACTGAACCTGTAGCCACCCTTCCACTGGTGACCACCTCAGAATGTCCCAAAGAGGGCAGATGCAGCAGGGGTGAAGATCCTATCTCATTAAAGACAGAGGCTCAACTTCTGCTGAAGATGCGCTTTCGTTACTGTCGACATCTCTTCCATATCCCCTGCATCAGGCTGGAGGTTGCATGGCCCATAGCATCTCTCCAAATAAATGCTTGTAAGAACAGACCCTTACCTACCATCCATGTGGTTACAATCAGGGTAACCATGTTCCTCAATGTGGCCACACATTCTGGCCATGCGTGATCGGCCCAGGTGGTCCTATCAGCCTCTACCCTGGGACTGTAATTCTGGAGCTCTGAGAGACTGTTTGCTACATGAACATATGTGGGCTTAAGCCAGTCTTCAGAAGAATAAACAGTGCAGAGACAATACACATCCTGCAGTCAGGCTGTACTTCCAGACTGTTCATGAAACCTGATTTCATCTTTGCCCTTGGTTCCTATAAGACATATAAGCTCCTTGCAATAAAAGCCCTATTTTAGCTTAAGCTCACCTAAGTAGGTCTTCCACCTGCAACCAAAATGGTCCTAAAGAAAACAGACTCTGCAGAGACAAGAAGTGGCCTTTTTCCTGTGGAAGGATTATTACTACCTTTTGGAGGAAGAAATTGAGTCCAGAGAGACAGTAGGACTTGCTCGAGCCCAGAGAGAGATTGGGACTTGCTCAGGGCCACACAATGAGTCATCTTCAGAACTGAAGTGATAAACACAGCTCCTCAAGAGTCCATACATGGAAGCCCCTGAAAGTAGGGTCCCTGTGTAGGCTGCCTGGGCCCCTCAGGGCTGAGCACAGAGGTCCTCAGAGTGGCTGTAGATCTATGATTAAGAGCTTTCTCTTCAGGGACGCGTGGGTGGCTCAGCAGCTCAGCGGTTTACCACCTGCCTTTGGCCCAGGTTGTGATCCTGGAGGCCTGGGTTCGAGTCCCACATCGGGCTCCCTGCAGGGAGCCTGCTTCTCCCTCTGCCTGTGTCTCTGCCTCGCTCTCTCTGTGTCTCTCATGAATAATTTTTTTTAAAGAGCTTTCTCTTCAGCACTGGGGTGGGGAAGGGGGCGTGGCTCCACATCTGGCCAGAATACATCAGATAATCTGAAGTAGTTTGGGGAGCGAATCAGATTGGTTGTGCTGGGCAGCGGAGACCAGATCCCCCAACGCCAAAGTCACCACTCTTGGCCTTGCCCTAGGAGAGAGGAATGGAGTTTTCATGGGTGGGCTGTGGAAGCACAGCAGGTACTGAGGACTGAGGTCACAATGAGTGCAATCCAAGTTCTTTTCCTTCCTTCTCTGACCACCCCCTCCCACCTCCACAACCAGGAAAGACTTAAGTCAAGGCCAGGAGAGAGGTGCCAGGAGATCTCCTGGGGCTCAAGGACTAGGCTGGACGCCTGGGCCCCCTAGGAAGGATATGTCCGGGGGACATCCCCACAAGGCCCCCTCCGTGTTAGAGCTCTGCGGCTCCTGTTGGCTTCTCATTATCTAGAAGGATTTGATGTGGCCCTCCCATCATCCCTCTCTGCCACGGCCGGGGAAGGGGGCCACGTAGCAGAGGCGAGTCCTCAGAGAGGTGGGTCTGGTGCAAGGTGAGCCTTGAGCCTGGGGCCACAGGAGGGCGACGAGGGCCAGAAGCGGCTGGAGCCAGGCGGGGCCTCGGGGCTGTGGGCGGAGCCAGAAGCTGCCAAGAGCCGTCCAGGCCGGCGGAAGAGTGGAAGCTCGGGCCCAGGGGCTGCAGCCAAGAGAGCGCGCTAGTTCCGCAGCCAGAGAGGCCGGGGCTTCGGCCTGGAGCCAGAGCCGAGAGCCGAAAGGCAGGCCTCGAGCTCCAGCGGGGCCAGCAGAGGCGGAGCCTCAGGGCCGGGCCGCCGAAGGCCGCGGTGGCCTCGCTGTGCGGCAGCAGGCGGCTCCGACGGCCGCCGTCGCGGGGCCGCGTGGCGGTGGTGCTGGACCAGGGCTCGGGCTTCGTCAAGGCGGGCTTCGCGGGCGAGCAGCAGCCGCGCCTGGTGCTGAAGAGCTCCAGCCCGGGGCCCGGCGCACTGGGCTGCGAGCTGGGGGACGGGGTGGCGCGGGCGCACCCCATCAAGCACGGCGTGGTCGCGGACTGGCAGGCGCTGGAGGGGCTGTGGGAGCGCCTGCTGGTGGGCGGCCTGCGGGTGTGCCCGGAGCGGTGGCCCGTGCTGGTGAGTGACTCGCCGTCGGCGCCGCCCGCGGGCCGCGAGAAGGCAGCCGAGCTGCTGTTCGAGGCCCTGGCGGTGCCCGCGTGCCACATGGCCAGCACCGCGTTGCTGGCGCTCTGCTCCGCTGGCGCGTTCAGCGGGCTGGCCGTGGAGGCAGGCGCGGGCGTGTGCCACGCCACGCCCATCTATGCGGGCCACTCGTGGCAGGAGGCCACCTTCCGGCTGGACGTGGCAGGCAGCACCCTGTCGCGCTACCTGCGGGACCTGCTGGTGGCAGCGTTCCCCGACCTCCAGCTGCGGGCCCTGCCCCGCAAGGCTATCACACAGCTCAAGAAACGCTGCTGCTATGTGTCGCTGGACTTTGAGGGTGACCTTCTTAACCCTGACCGCCACCACCCGGCCACTTTCTGCTTAGGCAATGGCTGCTCTGTCTGTCTCAGCAGCGAGCGCTTCCGCTGCCCCGAACCCATCTTCCAGCCGCGTCTGCTAGGCCAGACCAAGCCAGGACTGCCTGCACTGGTCTTCCAGGCATTGCAGAAGGTTCCCGCAAGGCTACGCACTCGGCTCGCTGATACCGTGGTGCTGGCCGGTGGCTCCACACTCTTCCCTGGCTTCACTGAGCGCCTGGAAATGGAGCTGGAGGCACAGTGCCGGAGGCATGGCTATGGGGCCCTGAGGCCGCACCTGGTGGCCAAGCCTGGGCGTGGCACAGCAGTATGGACAGGCGGCTCCATGGTGGCCTCCTTGCGCTCCTTCCAATGCCACTGGATAACCCGGGCCATGTACCAGGAGTATGGCTCCAGGCTAGTGCATGAAGTGTTCAACTGAGTTACGCTGTACCGGAGGGTGGGGCGCCGTGAGCAGCTGCAGAGGCAGAGGCTTGGTGGGCTGCCCTATAGCTCTATCAGAGGCACTGAGTTCCAGATAAAAGTCTCAAGTGATTGGAGCTGGCAGAGTCATCATGCGCAGATGGGTCATCCCCACCCCTTACTGAGCCAGGAGGAGGTGATCCGGACCCCTAGGACCCCCACTGTGACCTACAACTTGAATCTACCTAAACAGTGCCAGTTCAGGCAATACCAGTCCAGGTGCCTACCCTCAGGGCCCTGTTTCCATGGCAATGAGGAAGGCAACAACCCCACTTGTGTCTAGGACACAGATACGGAAATTACAATACATCAACCCCTCATCATGTGCCATTTGGATTCCCATCCTATGCCAAAGTTCAAGGGATGGCCCTTTGAAAACCTATAAAATCCCATGGGGAAGCAATGAGAAAAGGAAGCCCTGTCCTCAACTGCTCACTGACTCACTGAGGGCCTCAGTTTCCCCTTCTGTAAAAAGTGGGGTCAGGCACAATTCTGGGCCTCCTCACTGTTCCCTTCTGGCCTCCTTATCAAGAGCTATGGGGCAATGGGAAGTGGAGACATCTCTTAAAAGGAACACATAAAGGGAGGGGTGGCTTGTATTTCTGAAGTCACTATCTTGAGAAACTAGAGCCCTGGCTGTGAGCACTGTTTGTGCTTATATGCACATGTGGCCACATATGCAAACAAAACACTTGGGTGCACACATGCCAGCCTTACACATCTCCTCAAGACAGGCCCTGCCCCACCAGGTTCCACACGCCTCATGGCCTATGGCCGTGTGTGAGCATGCCCCACCTCCCACCCCATCCCTGCTGGATCTTGGGCTTGATACCCCACAACAGCTAGGTCTGGCCAGTAACAGAAACTGAGGTGGCCACAGCTCCAGGTATTAGGTGGCTGCTGTGTGCCAGGCATAGTTCTGGGTGTTGGAAATAGAGTAGAGAACGAGAAAGACAAAAATCCCTGCCTTCATTCTCATTTGTCGCATCAAATGTATGGAAGTAAGCTCTATTATGATCCCTAGTTTACAAATGAGGAAACTGAGGCCTGGGGAGATAAAGGTGCACAGCTAGGAAGTGAGAGAGCCATGACTTGAACGCAAGCCTCTAGCTTCACAGCCCTGAGCCATGACAGTGGAGGCTCCCACAGCACAGCAGACACCCCTGCCCTCATTCCCATCAAACCCTCCACTCACCAGCTTGGTGGTGTCCATGGCAGTGAGCACTGCACAGTTCAGCGACTCCAGTGCGGCCAGCACCGGCCGGTAGACACCCAGGTGTTCTGAGAAATAGTCTGCGGGCAGAGGAGGTGCTCAAAGGTTCCCGGACCAGCCCCCACCTGCTCCGTGGCCTCACTGACCCAACCTGGAATTCCTCAGCAGCCAAGCAGGCCTCAAATCCTGAGCCAAGCCCATCCTGTTCCACTAGGAGAGAAAAACCGTCTCTCATCATGCCCACCTGCCCAGGGGTCCCGGGAGACCAGAGCTCCCGGTGGGCCTACTCACCACACAGTCTCTCTGTTTCCAAATTGCTGTGGGATGAAGAGAAGGCACCCCTCAGTCCCACAGACGTAAGCCTGTGGCCTGGCACTTTGAAGCCATGCTCCTCCCACTGCCCTCCCAGCTCAGCCTGACGAGGAGGCTACTTCTGTCTCTCCCCCAGGTGAAGCTGCTCTGTGGGCCCGGAGGGGCAGCAAGGGTACTCCTGAGGGTAAAAATTCAGACCCACCCTTGGCCTCCAAGGGGATTTCAGGCCCAGTGAGAGAGATGTGGACACAGGCCAGAGAGGAGTGGTCAGAACTGGGAACGGGAAGCCAAGTCTGGGGAAATCCTAGAAAGCACCAGATGTTACTTGGGAGGTTAGGAAGGGCTTCCAGGAGGATGCTACTTTAGATAGGCCTTGAGGGACAGGAATTTGATTGGAGTGTCTGGTGGTGTGGGGAGGTGGCAGCCCTGAAGACCAAAGGTCCAGCTCAAGTTTCAAATAGGGAAGGGCATGGAAGCCTTGAATGCTGACCCAGAGGCTGGGATTTATCCTAAGGAGATATTGAGGGAGAGGGAGGGACAGCTGCGGATGCATGTGCACCCAGGTGAGGAAGCATGGGGAGGGAAGCGTGCATCTCCTGCTAAGGCCTGGAGATGCGGCAGCACGCTTGGGGAGGGAGTGCGTGTTCAGGCACTTGCGTCCATGGGTGGAAGCAGGCTATCCTCAGGCATCCTTTGGTTCCTGCAAAGTGGGAATGGGTGGGGGGACACCTGTGGGCTGAACCAGGGGTGGTGACTCAGACCTGGCTATTTTGGGGTCCCAGCTAGGAGTGTGACGGACAAGGCTGGAGCCAGGGAGGGGGGTGAGTGGGTGGGTAATGTTGGCGTCAGGCCCTGGCACCTCTCTCTCTATGCAACCCCCCATCCTCCATAAGGAAGCAAGGCAGCAGGGGACACAGTGGGGCTGGGACAGCCTAGCCTCACACCTACCCACGGCTCATCCACCCCCTCTCGTACTTACTCGGTGGAGTGCCCATCAATGCTGCTGAACAGCTCCCGCAGCTCCCCAGGGCTGAGAACCCCATCAGCAAAGTAATTCTGGAATTCCTCAAATGAGAGCTTACCATCATCTGGGGGGGGGGGGCAAAGAGCAGAGCTGGTATCCCTGAACCCTGCCACCAGATTCAGACCCCCCCCCCCCCCCCCCCGGTGTAATGGAATTCTGAGCATGGTAGGGGGAGCTGAAGACAAAAGGGTCCTTAGAGGTGCCCACTTAAGGCAACAAGGCCCACTTTGCAGGCACCCAATGGACAGAGCAGCACACACATGGCATTGCACAGCGACTCAATAAAGGTTTGCCAAATGAAGAAACAAATGAACAGCCTGGGATGCGGCCAGATCACGGCAGGACCCAGACGTCACTTGGAGGACTTGGGGGCTGAGTCGGCTGGCCAGCCTGGCTCCAGGCTGCTCTGGACCCACGCCCTTCCCAGAGAAGCCACTGGGAGGCAGATAAGATCTTCCTATGAGGAGCTGGAGCTCCTGCAAGCAGCAGCAGCAGGCTGGCTTAGGAGGAAATGATCTCCTCTCTGCAGGGTCCCTGTGACAGATAGTTACACAGTCTGAGCACCACTGGGATGGCCAAAGACACTGCGGATTTGGTTTGTAAGGTCTTTAAGCAGGTGGGGTTGGGGGAGCAGAGCTGGGGAAGGACCTGAGCCTCCCCAGGCAGAACACTGTTCCACACAAGGACACAAATGAAACCATGTGTCCTGATCAAGGGGTTGGGACACCATCCTGTCTCCAGGAGACTTAGACACGAAAGGGTCTGAAGACCCCAGATGGAAGTGAGGCCAAGGAGGACTGGCTGCCACAGCTCAGACCCTCACCTGGCCGATCAGGGCACAGTGGGCTGCCCCAAGTCATCAGTGGGCAGCAAGTGCTTGCGGCTCCTTTAAGGGCTCCTGCTTGAGCTTTCAAGGTTTTCCCAGACCAAGATCTGAGACTGCCCAGCACCCAGGGTAGGGGAGGCTGATTGCTTGGACTCACCACCACCCTGGGCTAGGTCCAGGTGGTTGGTCATACGAAAAGTTACTGAGCCCTGTAAAGGTCTAAGTAAAATCCTCCACAGGCCTCATCTCCACACTCCACCTTTCCAAGCCCCTGACACAGGGAGCCTGGGACCAAGCATCACTCAGACTTGGGTTCAAGGCCTACCACTTAAAGGCTGTGTGACTTCAGGCAACTTGCTTCACCTCTTTGGGCTTCTGCTCTTTTGTATGTGAAATGGGGTGAAGAATTCCCACCTAGCTGGTGGTTGTGAGGACAGCATGAAGTCATATAGAAGAGTTACCCATAACTGTGCCAGGGCACTGTGTGAGAGTACGCCCCCACCTCCAGCTTCTGACTAAACCACATTCCCTCCACTCTCCATCCTGCTAAGCTTAACTCCAAACGGCACTCCCTCTGGGAAGGATGCCTGGAGTGATTCTTCTGATTTGGGTCTCCCTAAGATTGTTCTCCATTCTAGACTGTGCCCCCAAACCCGACATTGTGCTGATCCTCCCTGATGCCTCCCACCGAACCCCCACACTGTGGACCCTGGGGAAGTCACACTCACCATTCTTGTCCGCTCTGCGGAAAACCTAGAGGACAAAGGGGCATAGATGGGAACTGTAAGTGCTGCCCGGGAGGCAAGGGCCCCCACCCAACTCATTAGGGCCTCAGCGGGCCAGGCTGCCCCCACCTCGCCCTTCCTCCTGCCCAGCCTGCTCCCAACTCCCTACCCAGATCAGCCCTGCAGGAGGCTTTCCACTGAGGGGGGCACAGGAAGATCACACAGCAGGTCCCACTTGCTCACTTCTCCTGCAGGCCTGGCCTCATGGTGGGCGCTCCAGGCCAGCTGCCGGCACCCCTACCTCCCACACCTGGAGTCTATCCTGGATGCTGTGTAATGCATCAGACCTTGGCACGGTCCCAGCACGAGGGAGGGAGGACGGGCCACGTTCCTGGGCCCTCGTCCTAGACCCGAACCCCTCATCTCTGCAGCATGGCCATGGCCCATCCACAGACCGCCTGCTTACGGCTGTCTCCCTGGCTGCTTAGGAGCCTGATGTGTGGGCAGTGGCTAGCCCTTCCTTTGTGGGTGCCTGGAGTTAACCCTTCCCGGTCTGGGGCTTCTTATGAGTCTGACTCAGTGTGTGAAGGCCTCTGGGCAGGCTCGTGTGTGTGTGTGTGTGTGTGTGTGTGTGTGTGTGTGTGTGTGTGTATGCGCACCTGTGTGTGCACATGTGCAAGGGGGAGTGAGAGTGCCAGAATGCAAGGCTGGACAGGCTGTATTTACAGAAAAGAAGAGATGAAGGGCAACAGAGGCAGATAGAGAGGAAGAGTCAAGACATGGTCAGGGACCAGAGAGTTCCAGATCACCCCAAGCAGCCCAGTAGATGGGAGACCAGCACACCTGGCAAGGAGAGGCAGGCCAAAGACTGAAGAGAAAATCCCTATCAGCTCCAGGTCCTGACTGCCACTCCTCTCCAGCTGTTTTCTCTGTCAGTGAAGCATTGGCATGAATTTAACCCCTGACCAGACACCTGACTCAGAGGCGGCCTGCCACTGGCTCAGGGTCACACAGCAGCCCAATGTGGCCTGGGGGGCAGACGGAGATGGCAGGGAGGGGTGCGACGCTGTGGACGAGGACATCTGGGGCCACACCCTAGCATGCCTCTGACTCCATGTGTGATCATGAACATATTCCGGACTCCTCCGGCCTTGGTTTTTCCATCTGGGAAGTGGGACAGATAAGTCTCTTCCATCCAGGGTTGTGATCAAGGTGCTGAGTCACTGGGGGCAGCAGGGAGGGGACAGGAGTACAGTCTCTCCCATAGGCAGAGACCTCTGAAAGTGGGGCATTAGTGGGCCAGGATGGGGATGAGCACCAGGGTGAAAGGGGGGAAGGGGCTCAGGGCAGTGATGGAGGCCTGGCTAGGGTGCTCCATGCTACTGCCCCCAGGGGGGCTGTGGACCCACCTGCCACCCACGAGAGGGATGTACAGACCACTGTGGGCAATCCTGATCAGCTGTGGGACCCGACGGCCCCTGGGTCAGATCTCAGGGACTCTTGGGATCAGTGCTTGGGTCAGGAGTCAGGGGGCTGTCTTTTCTTTCAGGCTCCCCTGCCTGGGTCAGCCCAGCCGGGGGCTGCTATAGAGGCGGCCGCTCCAGTGATCAAGTGTTGACCGTCTCCACCGCATCAGACACACAGATGGGGTGGACTTGGGGGTGGGGGAGGCAGCAGGAGCAGTGCCGCGCAGCCAGGGGACCAGGAGAGATAAGGAGACAGAGAATGGACACAATGGAAACGAGATAAAGACGACGGAGAAGGGAGGCAGCAGGGGCAGAGAGAGACAGTGAGAAGCAGAGAGCCAGAGACGGGAGCAGGGGCCCAGGCAGATCTGGAGGGAGACACACGGGCAAGGGGAGACCCGGAGAGCAGACGGACCGGGGGACGGCGCCAACGCCGGGGCCAGAGGGCCCGCGCCCCCCACCCGCCCCCCACTCACGTCCTGGAAGAGCGCAAGTCCGGCGGGCCGGGCGGCGGGCGCGGGCGCGGGGGGCCGCCGGGGCTCGGGCGCGGGCGGCCGGAGCAGGCACACGGTGAGCAGCCCCGCGCACGCCATGGCGCCGCCACCCACTCGG